GGAAAAAATTATTGCCAGCAATACATTTAAAAAAAAAAATATTACCAGCAATACATTCTTGAAAAAAAAAAAAAAAACAATTCCCGGCAATACATTATTGAAAAAAAAAAAAAATTACCAGCAATACACTTTAAAAAAAAAAAAATATTACCAGCAATAAAAATTTTGTTTGCATTAAATAACCCATTGAGGTTGATATGCCATAAAATAAAACAAACCAAACCAAACCATGAAGTCATAAAAAAAAGAGTTTTTATTTAAAATTCACCAAAACCACTCTTCCTCTTTGTTGTTAGTTCTAATGTTAGTAAAATTCCTTATAATGATGAGGTTTATAGAAAAACTGGTACATAAAGCAGGGGGTCATAAATAAATAAAAAAAAAATGAAGCTGCTGAATCAGATTTTTAAGAGACAGGAACTAAATGAGATGTTATGTGTGTAGGAGGGAACAATCAGATAATAAGTATGAAAGATTCCTGATTTTATATATTTTTTTTCATCTGATCTTTTATGATCAGCTAAAAAAGTATTTTTTCTTTTTTTTTTTGTTTTGATTTTAAATATACATTCTTGCTTTTCATTTGCTCTTATTTCCTGAAACAAGACTTAGAGACATTTTCACCATATAAAACTTATATAAAAGCTTTAGAAGCAAACATTTTGGAAAAAAAAATAATGGTGAATAAAGGTTTCTGATTTATTTTGAAAATTAATAGCAGTAATGATTTTGAGCAAATGATAACATTTCAACTCAATAACATTTGTCATAGACTGGGGTCAAGAGGTCAAATTTAGTCTTCTGTTTAGTTCTCAATTTCAGACAAAAGTTTTTGCCCCATACTAAAGCATTGCGAAAGTAGATCTTCTTTCTTATTTACCAATTCAGTCAGCTGGTGCTGCTAAGTTACTAAAATTCTAAAATAATAGCAAAAAGGGCAAATAAGAAATCCACTTAAATAAGCAATTATTCAGTTATTGCTTGTAAATTATCTAAAGAACATAATTATTCCTACAATATATATAAAAATCTTTATAGGAAAGAAATGCTATTTCTAACACAATTACATACGCACATACATACCATATTAAAACAAAACCAAACTTTATTTTCTACCCAATAAGAGACAATATTTACAAACATGTAAAAAAGATTCCCCCCAAAAAAACACACCCTAAATAGCAGTTGTTCAGAGATCTACTCTGACCTGGGGTGGTAGTACCTGTTAGGGTCCCATCTATAGGCAAATAGTGAACCCCCCTCAACAAAAATAAAACACTATAAATGTATAAAAATACATTTTTATAGTAAAAATAACAGCAATACATTTTTATATAAAAGAAATTAGCAACAATACATTTTTAACACAAAATGACCACCAATGCATTTTACAGTAGAATTACCAATACATTTTTAAAGCAAAATGACCAACAATACATTTTATAGAAAAATGACCAACAATACAATTTATCTGTAGTTGAAGGCATACAATTGCATTCAAAATATATGTATAGAAGCCATAAAGTTGTGTTCAAAATATTTAGATTTCAGCATTAGGGGTTGATATGATGCCAAATAAAATCAACCAACCAACAACACACACCATTTAAATTGAACTGCCTATTAGTGTAATGAGTTGGTCGGTCAACTTGACACCCCCAAAGCAAGTGGAGGTGGGCAGGTGCGGAAACTGTGATTGGTAGCTGGCTTGTTGGTGTTTTGCATGGGCGAGTTATCAAGCTCTATGTAAAGGGCTGGAATGAGAAGGAGGGAATTTCGTCTCAGAAGTGGAGACTATGCCTGTTGCTACGACAGTAGGAGAGAGACAAAATCTTTTATTTTTTTTTTTTCTTTTGTGACACATTTCAACACAAGCTATTTCGGCAAACCTCAGACGTTGACACACTTTATCTGAATCCAGCAGCAATGGCAAGGAGGCCTTTCGACCTGCAGTTGATTCCTGGGTTTGGAGGGGCCACGTTGGATGAACCAATTATAGAATGGCTTGAGCGAGTAGAGATGATCTGTGAGCTGAAGAAAGGGTCAAGCGCATTCTCCCATTGCGGTTGACTGGTGGGGCTCTCACTGTGTATCGGCAACTCAGCAAAGAGCTGATATCGAGGAAATCAAGCGTGCCCTCACCACTGCATTTGCTGAAGTTTTTGTGATGGAGAGACAGTTGATGAATTCCTGGCGGCACTCAAAGGACTGGCTCGCCAAGTTGGAGAAAGACCACACGAAAGATGGATAGCCTGCATGTTTGTTGCAGGGTTGCCACAGCATGTCAGGCAGAAGCTTCGGGTGTCAGCGCGAATGGACACTTTGACATTAGACCAGCTCTGTGCAAGAGCTCAAGTCATCCTGGTTGAAGACCATAGACCTGTAAACCAAATTATCGCAGTGGCCCAGCAGCCACGTGTAAATGCCGTGGAAGTAATTGCTGACCAGAACAGAAGAAGCTCAGTGTGTTGTCCGTGCACCAACCCCAACGACCTGAATAATGGCTGCACCCAGGGACGTGCAACAAGGACTGACAACCAGGTACGATGATTGTGCCGAAGGTTACGGTGCTTCAGATGCCAAAGGATGGGTCACTTTGCATCAGAGTGCCCAGGAAACAAGTCAGGGAAAATACACAAGTGCTGGTCTCCTCCCCGGGCAATAGCAACATCAAGGTGCTACCTGTAATTAAACTGCTTGTTGATGGACGGAGATGCATGGCCCTGGCGGACTCCGGGTGTTCAAAGACACTAATGTGAAAGTCGGTGAATTGCTTGTGGAGACCTAAAGAGGCACAGATTGTAACTGCTGACGGAATAACCCTTACCAGCCTAGGTGTCGAATCAGTGGAGCTGAAAATCAACCACATACGCCAGGTAACCGTGGAGGTATTAATTGTACACCAAACCTTGCCAGGGCTCGACCTCCTGCTAGGAGTCGACGTGATTGTGAAACTGGGAGGAGTCCATATAAGATATATAAAAACTTGCTTTCAACCATAAAACAAAAAAACACAATAAAAGCCTCTGTAGAACAACATTAGATAAATATCAATTTGTCATCAAGTTGTCCACACATTAACAGATCAAATAAACAGTAACCAACATGTTAAAAAATGTATTTCTGCGATATTTTAAACTTAAAATAAATAATATTTGTTTCAAATAAGTTTAATTATACTTTAAATCACCTAATTTTCCTCAAATTAAGTTTCAGAAAAGTACATTTCATTTTCGAAATATTTTTTTTATTAAAGAGCACTATGTTGTGTCAAGATTTGTAAATATGGCTGATTTTAGCGATTTGAAAAAAAAAATCATTCCAATCAATTTAAATTCAGTTTAAAATACAGCAAAGTATTTTGCTTATTGGAAATATTAAATTTAAATCTATTAGCTTGGTATTAAAACTAAAATAATTATTTTTGGAAGATTTTTTTTTTTATTATTAAAGAAAATTACATTCTGACATCAGGTAGCTAAAAAATGATGCCAAAAATAAATAAAAAATTCAGCAATTTCAAAACGAAAACGTCTTCCAATCAATTTAAATTAGTTAGAGTATTTTGCTTATTGGAAATATTAAATTTTAATCTATAAGCTTGAAATAAAAACTAAAATAAAAGCTTCAAGAAAGATTTTTCATTTTTAAAAATTAATTTTAAAAACCTTAGGTATCATGAATCTGTGGAGGTACCTATGTTAAATACTCCAAACCCTCTTTCCTCATCATGCGCCCCAGAAATTTCAACTATCTCTTTCTGATTCTAAGTATAAGTGTCCTGTTTACTTTTAAAACTTCCTCATTCATTACTCACATGTTCAGTCCATGGGATTCTCATCATCCTTCTTTACTCTTCAGGAACCACAAATGATCTCTTATTTATGAGATTGTCTCACTGCCAAAGAGGACAGATATTATTACTATTACATAACAGTCCAGTACTCTTTTCTCTCATTCTCACGAAATTTTCCTCTTTCTTAATACTTTGTTTAGCTTTAGGAAATCATCTTTCACTATTCCAATGCGCCTTGAGATTTCGATGTCACATTTTCTGTCATCTGTATTTAATTTAAATTTTCGTACTTTTTGTATGATTCTGACATTACCAGTTGCCGCCCGTTAGTTATCAAATTGATCATATAAAAAACGTCATTTCCATATTTTTCCGAAATATACTAAAAGTTTTAGAATAAGACATTTTATTTTTTGATTTTCTAAAAGTTTTAGAAGTTAGACTAAAACTTTTCGAAAATCAAAAAATAAAATATTCATTTTTGTTAGGCATCTCCACAAAAATCACAACATCTAAAACTGGTTTAAAATTAATTTTTAAAAATGAAAAAGCTTTCTTTAAGCTTTCATTTTAAATTTTAGTTTTAATTGAAAGCTAAATAAATGATTTCTTTCTTTCCACTGTTTCAGTTGTAAGACAGGCAAATAAATGAGTGGATCAGAAAAAATATCGAATCGTAAATATTTAAAACAAAAGTTAAACTCTCCACTTTTTATTTTTTGATGTTCTGTTAAAGAGACAATAAAAAGCCTGGTATTTTTTTTTATTATTAATTGAGACCTTTCTTTAAGTTATTCATCTTTAAGAAGATAAACTAAAATAATAATTAGAAAAGTTCGAGAACTTCAGTTTATTTTTAAAATTATCTGTAATCGATTTCTCATTAGGAACCTAATCTTTGATTAAATAAACGAACAATTATATAATTTATTTTAAATCTTTTAACAAAATTTATAACTGCTAATAAAATTTACTTTTACTACAATCACGAAAATATAAAAAAAAGTTCCTGGTATCAAAGACAATGGTTTCAAAGAAATCGTGGACTAAACAAAAACTCGATGGAAAAAATACAGCTAAATAAAAATAAAATAAACCAAATAATGTTGACAATATTATCACAATTAACTTTAAAATCTAACGAAATCAAAAAAGAAAACAATCTACCCCAAATAATAATAATAAAATTAAGAATTTACACCACCTGAAAGCAGATCTTTCATTTCTATTCAACATACAAGATAAACAAATTTGTATCCGGTGTTATACTAAATAATACCCAATAAATAAAAGCGTTATTCGTTTTCAGAAAGAAAGACATGATGTAATGAGGTATCACCAACAAAGATCCGCTTAAAAGTTAGCATACACATGATGAAAAAATGGCCAAATTTAATAAAAACAAAGTTTCATCGTCAAAATCTTTCTGTTATTATTATTAAGAAAAATCAAAGTATTTTTTTGATTATTGAATTATATTTTTACTTCGTTTTAATTTAGAATCTTCGAAATATTGTTTGCTTATTTTTTTTTTCTTGCGTCAGCGGGTTAATTATTATAGGAAATTTTAGTGACTTTTTACATTGAAAAACACACTGATTTTGAAATTCTTATAACAAATAAAAATGAAATTATTTTTTAAATGTTTCTTTAGAAAATCTTGGTAATTTGTAGTTGTTTGTTTCCTTCTTTTTTTTTTACATACCACTATTTGCTTGTGCAAGTCTACATAGAAAATGAAAAAAAAATCTAGGAACTCTTTATTTTCCAGTTTTTTCATTCCATTACGGACTTTAAGAAAACGAAAACGGCATTTTAAATATTATTTGAACTTAAATTTCGGTTCCATTTATAAAAAAGAAGCTAATCCCAAATAAAAGAAAAATTAATTTTCGTATATAAATAAACTTTTTTTGGTATTTTTAAAGAATTAGTACTTTTTTATCATTCATCGACTCATCTAGCAGCCATTGTATACGAAATTAAAAATAAACTTAAACAACAGATTTAAAATTATTTTTAAAATCCAATATTTGTCCTAGTGCAGCGCTTTAAACTATGAGTCGCGACTCCAAATCGGGTCGCCAAACAAAATGCTGGGGTCGCGAAAATGAAATTCAAACACTTGAATTTCAGTTTATACGTTATTTCACAAATGTGCACTATTTATGATGCACCACGCAAGCGATGCAGTAATAAAGTGCATATGCAGTATCGTTGCGACTAGTGCAGTGACAACGTATTTTCATTGTAGTTAGTTAATACCCGGGGTAGCGAAAAATCTCGTGATGAAAAATGGGGCCATGAATGAAAAAGGTTTAAGAGGCGCTGTCCTAGAGAGATGTGTTTTTAGAAAGTTATTGATTAAGGCTTCTTAATTAACTGTATTTTCTAAGAGTTAATGCTTGCCTTTTTGAGTGAAAGCAAAAAGAAAATGACGTTTTATTTACGCTCCTCTGTGAAGTCAGTGGACACATAGAAACACTAAAAGCTATTGTAGAGGACCGTGTGGATTTGAGTGTTGTTGAATTAGGAACACGTGCTGTTTATTCCTGTTAGAAGAAGGTCCAACTACAAGAAAATGGCAGACTCAAATTGAGTCCAACCGAAGATGTAAAGAAAACAAACAAAACCGACATATATATGTCAACAAATATATGTATTAGTATTAAACAACAAATTTACAAGTCACAAAGACATTAACATTTGTGTTTGTGTGCGAACGTAAAGAGTTTGTATTTTGGTGAATGTTCGTACGTACGTGTATGTGCGTTTCATGGCATTTCCCTACAAGTGGGCGAAACGCGGAATTCTAAGAAAGATTATATTTTGAAATGCAAAGTGAAAAAGAGAACGAGGCAAGAAGTCGCCCAGTATTTATAGTGTAGGGAGAGCGCTCCTAGTGAACAATTAGGGAATTAAGGAAGAGCTATCTCCGACACTATCTCTTCTTTCTCTATCATTCTCCATCCTCCCAAGACTGTGGTGTGCTCGATTGCATTTCTGACAATATAGACAAGGATATCTCTCAACATCCATCGGCAAACATATTTGTGTTTAGTGACTTTATGGAATTAACACATTAATTCCATCTATATTTTACGCGCGTGCGAGTTTCCTCCCTTCCTTTCACACTCGTGCGTGTGTGCGCGCGGTTTGCACCCCTTCCTTCCTCTCACAGCTAGACGTAGCAGTAACCTGGAGGAAGAACTTCGCTAGCTCCTACTGATGAAGTCAGACTAACAGATTTTGAATTTTTTCCCGCGCGTTTCGCGGCGTCTCAAACGGCCAGCGTGTGCAAACCAGTTGCTTCCCGATCTTCAACCTGACTAGACGGGCAACTCATTTATTCCGTGCCCTTAACCCATATGCGGGCCGGAATATCTTATTTCAACAATGGCGACCTCACACTTTACCAAGACTTCTTCTCGTCTTGATGCTACCCGCAGGTCAGACCTTCTCCGTTTTCGACCAGAAGACGTTCGAGACACACGACACAGTCGTGAGCAAAACTTCGTATTCAACAAGTGGCTTATTTTTATCCCTCGTCAGTCAATATTAAATACAGACAGGGATATTTTACTGACGAACAGATATTCTTCGTCCCTTCTGGACTCGCCATAATTAACTTCTCATAGACGATGCAACCAACCGCAACTAGCTCTTCGTCCTTTTGGCTAGACGTCCACAGCATTCCGTTAAAATTTTCAGCAGTTAATTCAAGACCTGACCGAACTCTGAGACCCTACTTTGAACCTGAACATAAAAAAGAAAAAAAACACAAAATCACATACACTCTCAACGCCAAAAAAATCCACAGTGAGTACTCCTTTCTATCTGTGCGCACATACACCTCGTGTTTAACGAGTTTCCTTTTCCAGAACCTTATAAAACTCTTTTTCCCGCCTTGTTCATCTTGCATTTCTATTTAGGCGCGGAACTTTTCCTTGATATCGTACCACGAGATAATCTACTTGTTTCCATCTAATTAAAGTTACACATGTTTTACAAACAGACGTCTTTGTCATTTTATTCCGGCTATCTCTTTGATGTTTATTAATTTATGCACTTGTTGATTGACCCCTTTCCTCTCACTGTTCATTCACGCATTATTATTTTTTTATACATTGCTTGTGGACTCGGTAGTTTAGTGTGGTGTCTGGCACAAGGCCACTTTGTAATAAACCAGCACTACACCCTACCGGGCCTGCAACAACTTCAATGCCCACCATACCAAATGGCTTAAAACACTCTGTAACTGACCTTCCTGGCATACAAACGCTTAACTTTTCAATCTCTCACACAAGTGGTTGACTTTCCTACGCGTTTCCCCAGTAACCATGATGGGAAGGCTTCCTTGGTCTCTGTTTTACCCCCATCCCTGAGTCGTGCCATGTAGCTCTGCTCTCTTGGCAACTCTGAGCATGCCGTCGTGTCTGTTAACATCTCCTTCTACTCCTCCCTCAGTAAAGAATCTCCTACAAACATAACATCTTTCTACTATTAACGAGCAGATTGGGACTCTTTCCGAGATTTCCTTCATGATGTCCTCTGGAATACTTAACTTTAATCTGTGGGATCTTCCACAACAAACCAGCCTTACCTCTTTTTTTAGGAAATGCACTCTTCCTATCTGGTAAGTAACATTCTACTTTCATGCAATATAACAAGTATTCATTGGTCAATTACCTCCAATCTAGCTTGCTGATTGGTCAGTTCCGACCAATCAAACCGCCTGCACGCGACCAATCTGTTTTTCCCGCGTTCTCCGTTTGAGCCTCCCACGTGGTACACGACCATTATATAAACCGAACACGTGTGAACTCTCTGAGTAGCTTTCTTTTCATTCATTTTTCGCGCACGTCTCATACCTTGCTAACAAGTGCCAAGATGTAACCTTCACCAACTTCCGTCTTAGTCATTGCTGACCAGACGTTAAAGACAATTACCAATATTCACGAACTCTGAAATCACCCCTGAACTTTTATCAACTTTAGAACTCACAATTCCAAACTTTATTCTTCTAAATTACAAGTTCAATATTACTTCTTCTTAATATGAGCTCCGGTACAAATATTACCAAGTCAAAGGGACACGACTCTATCCTACCTTTTTAGTTCGCATGCATGTACATCAAACATTAATAAATTTAATTGTTATGTTTTGGAATCATTCAGTTCAGTTTTGTATTTTATTCTATGTGCTATTTACGTCAAGTATAAATTGCATTGCGTTCACGCATTGTCCTTAATCTCATCTTTCTTAGCCAAAGTTAAATATTGGTAACTTTCAACATATATTGATGACCGCGACGTTCGTCGTTCAACGTTCACAACAACAATGGTAATACAGCCATCACATATATTGGTGATTCCGTCGGAATTAAACAACAATGGTAAGATAAGCCACTACAAATCTCTCCGTCCAAAAATGTGTCTAAAGTCTCATCCTGGGTAAAAGCTGGAATCGAGGCTTTAATCCCTGCAAGAAAATATAACGTTCACCCCTTTGGTTCTCAGCTGCTTGCTCAGCTGCTATTGCCAACAGGAATCACTACTTCCATCTGTACCGTAGAGACATGTCTGATCGCAACCGACGTCTCTTTGTCACTGCCCATAACTAGTGCAAGCATGTCCTCAAAGAAGCAAAGTTATTCTTTGCCGAAAGAATGAAACAACGTGTTGCGTCTCGCAAGTTTGGTTCAAAAGATTATTGGCGGCTCTGCAAAAGCGTGCTGAACAGCAGCAAACATTCAATACTTTATTCAACCAATTTGATGTCCTGACCTCCTCAGCTGATAAGGCTGAATGCTTTGCTCATAAATTCTCATCCAATTCAACGCTAGACTCATCTGGTGTACCCATACCTGGTTCTCCCCAACCCAGAACTGAGGCTTGTCGGAGTTAACTCCTCCTTCAGTTTATTAACCCTTTCACCAGGGGTCTCTCTTCCCTGGCTATAAATAGCCACTGACCCTTCGCCTCTATCTCTCTTTTTTCCTTCAGGCCTGTGCGCCGACACCTTGAGATAAATCTCTCCTTTTCATCAGGCTTTCAGCTTACAACCTCGAAATGTAAGCGCTAACAAGGGATAGCGTGGAAACACGCTAAGCACAATACAAACACACGCACATACAGAATATTCCCGTACACTTCATCCTTTGTACTGTTTCCATGTATTGTAACTTGTTATTAATATATATTTGTATATACATATATTAGCGGTCTTGTGTTTTG